AACATAATGGAAAATTCAATTTCTTGAGGGTGATTATGGTAAAACTAACGAAACTCGTTAGTTTTTGGTAACCCTGATCCGGATTAATATTACTAGCTTCCAAAGCAAATAATGACGGCCCAACCCTAATGAAACCCTAATCGTGTTTAGTATATAAACAACTCTTCCTTTCCAGAAGACGGTTGTTCTTTAGCTCTCGTTTTTCATCAGACATTCACAGAACCCTTTAGCATAATAGCTTACGTTTTCTATGCATAGAAACGTAGGTGTCCGCTTGGATTATCCTAGACTGAATTTCTTGTAACCCAGGCATAGGGTAGAAATATCAGTTCGGAAAGTGATATCACGATCCAAGCTGGTATCCAGATCTCCACCGCAAACCCTAAATTTCCCAACACTTTTTGCATCATTACAGCTCCACTTCCCCTAACGCTTATGGAAACGCTCCCCAGTGTTACCGTTGCAAATCCATGTTTGTCAAGATCATCAAAAACATAATCAGGTACTTAATCTCCATATCAGATCTCAAGCAGAAAGAATATAATCAGTTAAATGTAACTCAAAACTATTCTTTGATTTCTTTTCTCTCTTCTTTACCATAAAATCACCCTCACCTTCTTGAACTACATGAATCCTTCCTTCCTCTCCCATTTCCAACATCCATTCTCCTTTCTAAGCTACCTGAATCCTTCCCTCCTCTTAGCAGACCGACTTCATAACTGTGTTTGGATGCCCTTGTTGAAAACTGTAACTGTGATTGACTTATCAAATTAGGGAGCCTTAATTTTCTAGATGGCGAGGACGAATGCTACTCTAGTTTGTATGGAAATACCCAAGTTTAAACCTCGCGAATTTCGTGAAGAGATACCTCTCCGGTCTAAAACCAAAAGGTTCAACCACTACTACATCCATCAATCTACAAATCACAGAAATAGCCGCCTACTTCCTCCGACGCCATGCCTAAAGTTTGCGGTGATCGGGGACTTTGGTAGTTTGTGAAGGTTGAGGAATGAGAGGGAGGGAAGAACCAGGAAAACGTTGTCATGGATTTGTGTAAGATCCAATTTCTAGGTATTTAAAGAACTAAGGGAATATGATTTATCACATACATGGGTCAATGAAATGGGGTCCTAAGAAATGCTTATATGGTAAGGGCTAACCGGTTTACCCCTTCAATTCTTCCAAAAGGACCTAATAGACCCGACAAAAACTAGTTTACGCCCTTATAAAGCAAATCAAATACTTTAGGGGATAAATGGACAAACCCTAGAAACTTTGTAGGACATTTATGTCATTTCCCATTGTAATTACCATTATGTGATGGACACATGATATTACTTAAGGGATGGTGATGGACGATGTTTACCAAAAAGCACCTTCTATACATGATTTGAAAATCATAAAAAAAAAAAACATGGTACCAAATAAATAGATAGATGTTAGGATAAGAGATATACCGAACAAAAAATAAAAGGGGAAAATGATACAAATACCCTACGGAATTTCTAGGGTTAGTCCATTTAGTCCCTAAACTATGTGTGTTACTTTATTATGGAACAAACTTGTTTTTGTCGCTTTGATTGCGTCATTTTTGAAGTTTCGAAGGGGTAAGTTGGTCACATTTTTGCCACCTCATTTATTAAAGCTACATAAGCTTGTTAATTGTGTCCTTTGCTACCTGCCACCTCATTTATTCATGCCACATAAAAGCAAAATGAACAATTTATAGCAAAATGAGCCACAAGTAAGCATTTTAAAACAAACTCCTAAAAATTTATGAGAGAGAGAGAGAATGTGTGTGTGTGTGAGAGAGAGAGAGAGAGAAATAGAGAGAGAGAGAGAGAGGGAGAAAGAGAGAGAAAGAGTATGAAGTGAGGCTTACAATCATCATAGATTCTCTTTTGCTTCTCACTCAATCTAGAAACTTCAGTATTTATGAAATTGAATAAAAAAACAATCGCATCCTCTTCACAAGTTCTTAAGGTAGTGTTTAAAAATGGCACCCAAGAATCTGAAGGATATTGCAAACAGTTGCATCTTTCAGAGATTGAAGGTTTAGAAAATTATTTCAATGTTTTAAGTTTTCAGAAAATAGATTGTAGAAAGTTAGTGAAGACTTCTGAATCATAAAGCTAATGAGTTTCATGTTGGTTGATGATTGGAACCAAGATGAAAAAGCACATAAAATGAAATAAAGTTATGTTTATGAGATAGAAATTACTTACTTGTAGTGGTTCAGGAATCATGATTCATAATTATCAGCAAGTTCAAATCAACATGAACATCGATTTTCAGAGTTGAAACTATTGAAGGGGTGCTGGAGGTGGGGTAGCGTTAGTGGAAGGCGGTACTAGAGGTAGGTGTCACTAGTATTAGGCGGAGGAAGCAGTGGTGAGAAGGAGGAAGAATTGATGACGGTGACAAGAAGGAAGCCGATCAGTGGCGTAGAGGAAAGAGGAAGAAGTGGTTGTCTATGTGAGGAAGAAGAATGTCGATTTAGTTCAACAACATGGGTCTTGTTATTAAGTTGGAGACAAATTTTAATAGGGTTAATAAGAAACTGATTCCTAAAATAAAAGGATGTCACAATGTAATTAGTTATATTAGTTAATGGTAAATATTGTGGATGTGACCCTCAAACCAGATAAAACAAGGCTAGGGGATTAAATATACAGGTTGTCAACGAGTTTGTTCCCTTATAAAACAACAAAAATAGTTTATGGACTAAATTAACAAACCCTAAAAACTTCGTAGGACATTTATATCATTTCCCCAAAATATAATTACCGTCACCCTGAATGCAAGATTTGAAAACCATAAAAAATATGATGCCTAATTTTTATAAGATCTAAGATTTATTACTTGTAATATTATGTTATGTATTAATTATTTTTTAGTTTATCATATATATTAAATTGTTAATGTTATGTATTAAATTGATGTAAGATAATTTTGTTAAAATCTAATCAAGAAACATTTTTGAAAATCAATATAAATTTGCAAAAGAAATATGTTTGGAATATTTTTTTTTATCTAAAAGTAATGTAATTAGTTTGAGATAAATCATGTTTTCGTATCAAATATTATACTAGTATGATACTATGATATAAAAATCGGTTATGTATCAAGGCCATATAAGTTAATTTAGCACTACACAAAGCATAAAAAGCGTGGTACACCTAAAACGTAAAACCAACTCACTTCTATTATTTGAATCAAAATGGTTAATGACAATCACTTGAATAGTTGATTCAATGCGTGTTTAGTATTGATTTTAAAATAATTTTTGTCTTTTAATTTTTCCAAAAAGTTAAAAAAATGGCTAGATGTTTGAATAATGTAAAAGATCTTTTAAAATAATTTTTTGTGTAGGAAGAAAAGTTAGTGTTTCAAAAGTTATAAAATCCTATATTTTTATACTTGTAGCTGTCTCACACACACACACACACACATATATATATATATATATATATATATATATATATATATATATATATATATATATCGGAAAAATGAATATACCCTTAAGGGTATATAAGTTTAGGTACCTAAAGTCACTATACTATGTTCTTTGTATCATATGTATACATTGTAATTGTCTAATGTTCTTATAATTTAACTTCTAACTTGATTTACTTCTAAGTTTTTTATAAATTTCATATTTATCTTCATCTTACATAATTTTCATTTTCAACTCTAATATATATAACCTAATAGGTGTTCGGCAAAAAAATGTGATATAAGAGGAAAACAATAGTGAAATTTCGAATATCTTTAAAGTAAATCAAGTTAAGGTTGAAGTCTAATAACATTATAATGAATATATCAAACAAAACAACTAATTATAGTGAGTTTGGGTACTTAAGCTTATATACCTTTAAGGGTATATTCACTTTTCCATATATATATATATATATATATATATATATATATATATATATGAATGTGGTGTCATTTGTCATTCTTGATTACATTGTTAATTAATACTATCACATTCGTGACTAAAACTTGCTGCTGCCAATATGGTGGTGGATACTCGAAATGTTGTCTTCTTTAGTGTCTTCTCCTTTGTTGTAAATTACCTTTTTATCTGGTGGTGTGATTTTAGAGACTTTTTAATATGAAAAGATGATTTTTACCCTAAAAACAAATACAAACACATTTTAAAGATTATCTTTTGAAAAAAAATCACTAGCTAAAAAGTCTTTTTTATAAAGGGAGAATTTCATATATGCCCCTCTTAAACTTCAAAATATCATATTTGCCCAATTTAATTTCTCAATATCATATTTACCTTTCATAAACCTTCAAAATATCATATTTGCCCAAATCCTTTTTTATAATGTTTTTAATATTTTATAATCATTTTTTATACATTAGAATTATTATAATAATTAAGAAATTTAACCATATTATCATTACGTCTATGATAATGAAATGCGAATTTCTAAATTGTTGGAATGTCGACCTCTTGACAGACAAACAGATTCATATTCAACTCTTTCTATGAAATGTATATTTTGATTGTTTAGTTTTTATTGTTGTTAATTGTTATTATGTTATAGATGGAGGATATTTTACATATTACCATTGATATTTTGATATTTAAAAAATGCATATACGATATTTTGATATTTAAGAAGGGCATATATGATATTTTGATGTTTAAAAAGGACATATATGATATTTAGAAATTTTATGAAGGGTAAATATGATATTTAGAAATTTTATGAAGGGTAAATATGATATCTAAAAATAAAGTTGGGTAAATATGATATTTTGATATTTAAAAATGATATATATATATGAAATTTTCTTTTTTATAAAAAAGATTTTTAACGTAATCCCAAACACCTTCACATCTACGTTTTGTTGACTGTAACTTTTTTTAATTAAATATAATACATTTTAAAGTTATATTTAACACGTGACAAATACTCCATATTAGAAAAAGCTTAAATGGTTTAATCATTTAAAATTTTAAACAGCCCGTTGGCCCAATGTCCGTAAGCCCAAGGTTTAATCAATTTGGGAATCAGTTAGTCCGTCGAAAGTCGATTGTGAAGACGTGAATTGAAGAAGAAGCAGAAGATTCCACTTCCTCAGCCCCTGCTCCGCTCAGCACTTCTGCCGGCGTCCAGCTCCACAGCCTCCTGCAAATTCTCCTCTTTCCGCTGCTCAAGGCCATATGTCATTCCCACCCCTTTGAAGCCACCGGCCGGAGACCTTCGATAGCCAGCCACAGCTAAACCGTCGCAACCCACCTCAGGTTCCATTCTTCTTCCTTTTTTCCGGCTTTCTTTCTTCTTGATATAAATTTATACCAAACTCATGGTTATCAATTAATGCTGGTCGATTTCTTCCTTTTTTTCTGCCTTCGATAGCCACAGCTACTTGTTTGCTACTTCTGATTTGCTGTTCATATATGATATCACATGTGTTTGTTGTTCATATATGATATCACATGTGTTTGTTGTTCATATATGATATCTGATGTGTATAGTGTTCTGTATCTTTAATTAGATGTTTGAATTTGTGTTGTTAAGGCCCATAATGACGGTTTTTGATTTGAGTTGAGACGGTTGGCATTGCAGGCAAGCTGTTTGATCAAATGCCTTAAAGGGTTTATACGGATTACAAATGCCTGAGAGGGACGAGTGGACATATTTGCCCTTGTCCCCTGTTTTTATCATGTTTTAAAGGATTACTAAAATGGTTCATGCTTGCTGTTTTATAATCCAAATATAAAACTATTAGTTGTAATAAGAAAAATAAATTAAAATGTGAAGGAAGTATTTTTTTGATCATTTTACACATATAAACAATTTTTTTTGGTTTGCCAAACACTAAAAAGCAGCTTATAGCATCCAAAACAATAATTTAATTTGTCAGATCATCTCCAACTATATTTAAAAAATTAAAATGGCTTCCAATCTATGGTAAATCATGATAATAAATTATGTTGACGATTTTGTGTAATTTGATCTTATAATATTCATGAACTATCGAATTTCATTTACATATGAATCGTTAATATATAAGTAAAATATTGAAAACTGACCTACAAAATATATTACAACAATTTGTGAGAGCTTTAAAAGGAATTCAGTGTTAGTCTATGATATATAAATGTATTATCCTATTTTATCAGTAATTAAATTTAATTAGAATTATATATTTAATTATTTGTATACTATGATTGTTATGTTTGAATAAAATAGTATAATATTAAATTAAAACAAATAATTTTATTATTCAAATTAGGTGTGAAACCCGTGTATTACACGGGTTGATTTAAAAAAAAATTGAACATTAAAGTGTAAATATAATTTTTTTTAATGTATAACTTTAAAATAAAGAAGATACATATTTATTGCAATTTAATATCATATATATCATATTTAATACTTTACATATATAAGTATATGATTTTAATTTTAAAAATTGAAATAAATCAAAAATTGACAAGTGGATAATATTTATTTTAAAAATACCACAAAATAACAAGTGTCAAAATTAATGAGAAGTTGACAAAAGATCTTAAAAATAATCTGTCAGCGTTATTTTAGTATATGGTTATAATATCATTTTTGTATATATATAGTTTACTAAATGTATGAAGCGACTAAATTGATTAAATATTCTTGTTTAAAGAAATAATAACAGCAAACGTTTGAGAGTCGATGGGGTAAACTCGTGGTGAATCAATAGTTTAGGCATTAATTCTGTGATTTGAGTTCAGAAATAAGAATTCGGAGATTTTATGTTACAAACAATGCCAACGGCTGATTTTATCCTTTTGTCGGTGCAGAAACTTTGCAATTAATCTTTTGTCGATCTTCATCCATTCAGTTTCACTGCGTAATTTCACGTTCTTTGATCTGCATTTGGGATCCAAATAATAAGATGATCACAGGTGCGTCTGCTTCTTCCATTGCAGTTCAACTGCTCGATCAAATGCCCCTGAGAAAATTGTTTTGCTTTTCATTCACTTACATTACTTTTCTCTCGAAAACTCTTCTTGTATTTCATTCGCGTTGAATTTCCTTTGACTCTGACACCACGTATGCCCTATATGGTGCAACGTAGGATGCCAATATCAGACTAGAGGCCTTCTCTTGCACAAATGGCAATACCCTGGTACGTTTTAATTTTATACTCTCTTAGTCACAAAAAGGAATATGAATTTGAAGTTCTAAACTCATAACAATTTCCACTATTTCATTTTTTTTGCAAATACAGGTTTGAGGACGACAACATCACATACATTACACGCAAGGTTTTTGAAAAAGAAACCAATAAGTTGTTCAATACATCAACCGATTGAAATCTCCCCTGTTAACAAGAAGAGGGATGAAAATAAGAGACCATTGGTTAAAATGTGTGGAATCACATCAGCTAAAGATGCAGCTCTAGCAGCAGAAGCTGGAGCTGACTTTATTGGAATGATCCTTTGGCCTAATTCAAAACGTTCAGTTTCAATTTCAACTGCAAAAGAAATCTCAAAAGTTGCACGCGAATATGGGGCAAAGCCTGTTGGAGTATTTGTTGATGATGACTCCAACTCTATTTTGAAAGCTTCTGATGATGCAGATCTTGAATTTGTGCAGGTAGATTGTCACCACTCACCATAAAATATATATATATATATATATATATATATATATATATATATATATATATATATATATATATATATATATATATATATATATATAACATTCGGATTTGTATTCATTTGATAACATGCTAAACCTGTGTTCTACAGCTTCATGGAGATGGATCACGGGATGCATTTTCTCTTCTATCAAAGGAAAAACAAATCGTTTATGTTCTTCATGCGAATGAAGATGGTAAACTTCTCAATCATATTTCAGATGGAGATTGTTGTTTGGTAGATTGGATTCTGGTGGATAGTGCAAAAGGAGGAAGGTATTGTTTTGTTATTATCAAATATATCTGCAACATTAAATTTAGTAACAAGTGGTTGGGTGTGGGTGTACATTGGCAGTGGTAAAGGGTTTGACTGGTCAAAGTTCAAGCTACCACCAATAATGAGCAAAAACGGTTGGCTATTGGCTGGAGGGATCAAACCAGAAAATGTAATTTCAGCTCTTTCAATCTTAAAACCAGATGGAGTTGATGTGAGTAGTGGTATATGTGCTTCAGATGGCATTCAGAAAGATAAATCACGCATATCATCTTTCATGACATCTGTAAATTCTGTTCAATATTAATTATAATCCATCAAGAAAAAAAAAAAAACATGAAAATGTGCTCGGTGTCTGTAACTCTTTTTTGATTTCATGTCAAATCAATGGAAAGCAACAATGAAACCTTTCTAGTAATTGATATTGTTGTATTTTATTAATTTAAGTTGGGTATAAAAAATGACCCCACGCCTTTTATTATCATGTCCTTTTACTAAAAGTATTACGAAAAAAAATGGTTTCAGGTGGTCCACTTATCATGTATAGATTCATTTGTATCCAAGGATAGATAATAATGGTCCTTTAAGATAGAGATGTATGTGGACAACAATATTCCTTTTCCTCTATAAAAGCAAACGTACTTTTTAGCTTACATGTGTTACAAAATATTAACATAATAAATAACCCTCAACAAATTTATGGGGATATGAATGTAATTATACAAAGAGATTGGTTCAAAGCTTGGGGTCAGTTTGATAGTATACAACATCCCCTTCATCACTCACGTAATGATCTTTTTTCATACTATTTGCAACAACTCCAAGCAAATGGAATGGAATTGGCGATGATTTCTTTGGCTCCCTGTAATATTTCCCAAGCACTGGTTTTGCAGCTTCGGTCTACATTATCACAATTCAATTCCTGTTAATATTTGTTAATTAATAATATAATAAATTTTATAAAGAAAGAGTACTTACTGCCTCTATTAAGTTATAGTGTGGGATTTGAGGGAAAAGATGATGTATGACATGGGTTCCTATGTCATGATGGATGTTATTGATCCATCCATAGTCACGATCGAGTGTTGTTAGCCCTCCTCTTAGGTAACTCCATTCCTGTTGTGTTTCAAATTGAAAACAATATAATATAAGAAATTTATTCTAGTTTGTTATAATAATTAAAGATATAAAGAGATTGAAATTTGGGGTTTAGTTTAAAGTTCAAACCTTGCCACGGTACCATGGGAGCTTGTCTTCATGGCCATGGTGATGCAAGTAGGTTACTAAATCAAGCCACATCACAAATCCCTGAATTTAAATTCACAAATTTAGTTAAAATATTCATAATGGTAAAATGGTCATTTACTATCTCTGGATGTAGATTTAGATACAGACACATCATTCATTTGGATTTAGATATACATACATCAAAACATCATTATTCGGTTCAGTCAATTTATCCATATGTATAAACGGGTTTTTTTCTTTTTTTTTCTTTTGGACTAAATGAATTGTTTGAAAGTGAGTAAATGGCCATTTATGTAGTCGTGTATGTAGTGAAATAAACAATGGTATACAGTTTGAGAGTTTAGATTAAGTCCATTACATAAAAGAGAAAAGAGAAACTAACCAAATAGGGGATGCCATAGAGTTTAAGTACTTGAAGTGGGCCAATTACAAAGGACAAACCCACAAGAAGGGCAGCCATGGCTGTCCAACAAACGGTTGATGTGATCACATCTTTCTTCTCATTAGGCAGAAATAAATCGCTCTCTGGGTGAAAATGAGACCCTTTCTTTCCTGGACTTCGACCCCACTGATATGATATAATTTGAAACCCCAAACATAAGTTAAAATAAAAATAAAAACTAAATCAAATAATCAAGTTTTAAAAGTATCAAATATCAGATTTCTATTAAATATTATTATATGGTAAACTTGATAAGGCTCACCAGATAGAAAGGGTAAGCAAGCATAGGGAAAGGCAAAGTGAATCTCAACATCCGAGTTGCCGTATCTAAACTTCTATAAATCTTCTCAGATAACTTTAAAAAAAAAAAAAAAGCACAAATTTCAAGAAATTAGATTGTGTTATAGATATAATAAAAAATGAAAATATATATTACTAAACTTACTGGATGCCAAGATTCATCGTTCTCAACATGGCCATGGTTTTGATGATGAGTTCTATGGCTAATTCTCCTATAAAAACAATCACAACAATTAAAAAAGATAATAATAATATAATCTAATAAAAAGGGAATATGAGTAGACATGAATAAGGAATCATTTGTTGAAGTTGAATTCAATATTAAAAAAATGAAAAAGGAGAAGGAATATAATATACCATCCATGGTAAGGTACAAGAATTGAAGAATGAAGAAGATGACCAACTACACTATTGAGTTTTGCATTATTAGAAAAGCTTCCATGGCCACTGTTCAATCAAAAAACAGAATTATAAATACAGAATTAAAAGCTAAAAACAATCATTTGTTACACAGAAAGATGATTAAAAAGAAATTAAAGAATTAGTTATCATACCAATCATGGCCAAGAACAAAAAGAGCCCAGAACATTGTTCCTTGAGCAACCCAATACAGAGGCCAAACCACCATATTGTTAAAATAAGCCGCCGCCGCCGCCAACCCAAAAACCACCACCACATCTCTTAACACATAACTCATCGACTTCCATGGATTCTTCACCCAGCAATGTTTTGGGATGGCGGCTCTGATGTCAGCCAATGTGAAGGGTGGTGGTGCTCCGGGGTTGAAATCACTTTCTCCGACGTTAATCTTTTCGTCTTCTTCTACAAATTGGACACCCACCGGCGCACTCACCTTCAGTGCCCACCTCCTGTCTCTTGAAACCGATGAATTTGGCCGGAAAATCTTTGACGACGACGGAGCTATTCTGATTGAATTCGGAAAGGCGGAACTCGAGATTCGTGTTCTGGGATTAGAATAAAGTCTGGGAAGTGGTCTTAAACCACATTCTGATAACACCCAGGTAGCCATTGGAGATACCAGATGATGAAATCGAAAAACCAGAATCTTTTCAGTAATGGGTTTTTCTTTCTAGAGAGAGGAAGTGTGAAGAGAGGAACTGTGTCTGTGTGTGTGTGTGTGTGTGTGTGGAATTGAAGGTAATGAAAGTGTTCTTGAGGAGATAAAACGCCCACGTCTTCTGAATATATCAGATCTTTGTCCGTGTGGGTTTTCAATCACCTCTCTCCTACTCTATGGCTCTCCTTTGCTTCCAGTTGACATCTTATATGAATCTGGATACATACATATATATACAGACTTTATATGTAGTGTTTTTGTATATATAAAAATCCGATGGGTCTCTGTTTCTACCCAATTTCCTTACTCCATTAGCTCTGCTTTTAATAAGTCCTTTTTTTCTATATGGTGTGAAAAAGAGGAACGTGAATTTTGTGTGTGAAATTGGAGAAATACTAAATATGATTCGGTTTATTATAATTGAATTAATTACAAGTAGTTACCGATGACGTTTCTAAACTCTCATGGATTATACTTTATTAAGTTGTATTATCGTTTTATATTTGATTTTTTTATATTTGTCGTCAAATAGTTGTAGGTTTGTGTACACATTTTTTAAATTTAGTTATTTAACTATTAAGCATGGGTAATAAGTAATGAATTAATACCATTTTACATAAAATGAAATGCACGTTTTTCTCGATTATTGGAGGACGCAGAGTCCAAAATTAAACACGACCAGAAGTTGCTTTTCAGTCTCTGCGTTGCGGCTGCGCATGAATGTACGGGTCCAACCGTCCAAACCGTGTGAAGGACTGTTGAATTCAATCAAGCTTCCTCCAACTCCAACATCATTTTCTTTTCACTCGGTGATGACTGCCGAGAAATAAAAAGGGATTTTAAAGTCACCCAATAAAAAGTCAAAACCATTTAATTAACTCAAAAACATTGATAGTAAATTCAATTAAAAAATATACCGAATGACCGTCCACTTCTTTTCAAAACTATTTTAATGTTTTTTTTAAAGTGAATCTGGTCGTCGTGTTTTGGTCTCCAAATTTAAAAATTAATATATCCCTATGGTTTATAAATATTATAGGTTTTATCATTGTTTCGTATAAAAGACTAATATGGATGTCAAAAAGTCCCATGGAACCCTGGTTTTTGTGGGGTTCCGTCCAGTTTGGGGAAAAAAAATTAAAAATTGGGGTCGGGGATTGGGACGGGGTTTCATGGGCGGAGATGGGGTAGGTAATCCCGTCCTGAAACCTCCATGGGGATCCCATTAATAAACTACACATATATTAATTATATAAATATAATAAACAATAATATTATTTTGAACTTCCAAAATTCATCAGAAAACATTTTTTTTAAGTTGTTAATATAATGTTTTTAAGATGTCATAACTTATTTAGTTTTGACATGTAGAATTCTACGATAAATAATTATTTGTTACCTAAAAAGTAGATTCGTTTAGTCTAAATAACAACTTCTTTTAGCAAAAAAAAAACCCCAAAATCAATTGGTTGCGGGGTTAATAAAGGGGATTTGGGGCAAGGACGGAGGTAGGAAGGCTAAACATTTAAGGGGTGGGGGCGGTGTAACGCCCCGACTCTCAGGTATTAATTTTACAGCTTTATTTTTCATATTGGAAGGTCTACTCGCAGTGGCGAATTTAAAACCAAAATCAAAGTGGTTCCTTATATTAATGAAACGGAAAAAGTATGAAAATATAGGTCTTTTGGCAAAAATAAGGGAGTTCCTTATGTATTTTTATATATAACTGTTGTATTAAAAAAGAAAAAAGATAGGTCCTAGGACCTACCTTAACATAAGGTAGCTACGCCCCTGTCTACTCGATGAGTTTGATGCCCTGACTCGTCGAGTAGGAACTTTTGGAGCCACATGTTTAAATGACCAACTTGCCGAGTCGGAGAAATGACTCGACGAGTTGGAGCTGGAGGATGAAACCTTAATTTATGGGGTTTTGCACCCTATTTAAGGGTCATTGGCCTCCCTCACAACCCCTTGTGAGTCTAGAAACCATAAGTCGTCGTTTTTCTCACTTTTTGTGTGATATTAAGCCTTATGGTAGATTGTGAAAGGAAGATCTTTAAGTACTCAAGCTCCGGAACAAGAGGAAGGCTGTAGATCTTAGTTCTTCTTCATCTTAGCATCGTTTTTTAGGTAACAAGTTGTTACTTTGACCTTCTTCTATCTAGATCTATGCATGTATGAGATTAGGGCCACTTTGGCAATGTTGATATGTTATTTTGGGTATTAGGCATGATCTGAAGTTGCAATTTCAGATCTAGGCTTATCTTGGTATGTAAGATCATAAAGTTTCAGCCTTTGGGGAGTTAATACATTCGTAATCCCTTAGAACCTTTCTTTAGCTTGATTTGGGCCATTATCACCTTGCATGTACGTAAAGTTTGCAACTTTACGTAAGAAGTATGCCTTAGGAGCTTAGAATTATGGAGCTTTAAAGTCGTTTGGGTGGAGAAAGGACTGAAAGGACTCGACGATTTGCATGACCAACTCGGCAAGTCCGATGAAGATTGTCGTGCAAGGATTTTTGCATGGACTTGGTGAATCAGTAGGGTGACTTAGCGAGTCAGCTAGGTTTTCCTGACTTTTGGACATGCATGAACTCGGCGAGTTGCAGGGGAACTCGACGAGTCAACCAGGGATTTCACGACTTCTCGAGTTCAAGAAGGACTCGACGAGTCGGTGAACTGCACTCGACGAGTCGGGTCAACATGGACTGTTGACCTTGACCATTGACTTGGACCTTGACCAATGGTTGACTAGTTGACTTCTGGGGTATTTTAGTAAATTGGAAATTTATGGAAATGATCTTATGGTAAATATAGGTGGTGGAGTCCGTGTTTACAAGTATATATTATAGAACTATACAGGGATACTACAATGATAGTGAGTTATGGGAGAACGATTATTTCTTAAGCAGACCCGAAAAGTTGTTGAATGTCGGCCCTGAAAAGTCGTTGAATGTCGGTCCTGAGCAGCCGTCTCCGATTATTCAGTCGTCGAATGTAAAAGAGATTTCGCAGGATAAATGCAAAATATCGGCACAAGCACATCTTAGGCGTTCTAAATGCCAAAAGTTATGTCCATATGATATAAGTCGCCATGGATACAAATGAAGAGGAAAGGTGTTACACCGCAACAACCAACAACGTTGGACAATCTTGTAGATCCTACCGTATACAGTGTATAGAAAGAACGGGATGATTAATTTTTGTAGCTTTACATCACAATCAACGTACCACAAGCTCATCGGTTTTTTGTTTCTTTTGATTTGAAGACATTCAAAATGACTATATATGATAGTCAGTAGAATGGTGGCTACTGTTTAGAAAATGCGGATTGGTTTATAGGTATGACAACTCGCATCCACAAACTTCTATTAGGAATCAACTACTGAAATATCAAACCAACTTATTCAATCCCACTGGAGAGCTTCAAGATGACGTTGGAAAAGGCCCCAGACTTACCAGAACAGATTGACAACATAGAGGATTATGGGGTGTTTTGTGTTGTTTCCTGGAGGCGTAGATCGCCGGGAAATCGATTTCTATAAAGGGTAAAACCGGTTCATAGTCTTTGGGTTATCAAAAACGACTAGCGGAATTTATTTGGGGTACAAGAACAAAGATAATTTAAACATCATATTTATAATACCACCTACAAACACATCATTTATCTAGTATATGTATTTATTAGTTGTTTGTTGATTTTAATTGCATTTTATATTTGATAAAACCAAAAGGTATACAATTTATAAAAGCAAAACTTAAACATTTTATAAAAACAAACTTATACATTATATAAAACCAAAACTTACGCTAAAAGAGAAACCATATGGTACACGTAAAAAAACCCTAAGAAACTGTATTCTGGAACCTTGGTCCGAAAACCGTACTCCAGAATTCCAGAGAGCTCTCCGGAACAAGGTGTTCTGGAGAATGTGGTTATTTTTTTAAAAATAAAAAACAAATGCTCATTTATGTTTAGTCATTTATAAGGGTTAGATTACTCAATTTCCCTTAAATATAATTTATGATTAAGGAGAAATAAAAAAAGTTGTTCATAATAAAAAGGAATAAAATGTAATATCACAACAAATAGATTTGTGGCTAAAGAATATTGATTGGTTGATAAATAGTCAAGATTCTAAGTAACGTAAGTCGTAAATTAGCGACAATGTTAAACCTCAAGTTTTTCCCAGTATTGATGAGTCACATCGTTTGTAAGACGTAACTTAACGCGGTAATTTTGTATATAAATAATATTTTTATATGTAGTTTCAAATATTATTCTTTTATACATATATATGAGTTAAGGTTGCATTTTGATAAAACTTGACGGCAGACACAAGCCTTGGAGCCATGACAAGCTTTTTAGAACCTTGTGAATAGCAACAAAATAAATTATTTTAGTTGTTCAAAATAAGAAAGGAACAAAATAAATCATATTCTTCGAAAAACTATATTATAAATGATGTTATCAGAAATGATGTTAATGATACGTTGTTCTGGTTTGACGAGTGGGTAGGGGACTTCATTTTTGCTTCTAAATTTCCTCGATTGTTTTCTCTTGAGCGGCGGAAGTATTGTTTCGTCGAAGAGAGAATTTGTCCGGATATTAAGGGTTGGCCTTGGAAATGGCGACCAAATTGTCAGGAGGAGTCTGATGAGCTAATTATGTTAAGAAGTATTTTGTCTAACCACTCTCGATCTGGCGCGAAAGAGACTCTAAGAGCAAAACTTTCAAGTAACAGGAGGTTTTTGGTGAGTAGTGTTCGAAAGCTAATTGACTCTTACATCTCCTGTCCCATGCAAAATAGCACAATCTGGAATCACACGGTGTCGTTGAAAATTAATTGTTGTATATGGAGAGCTTGTATTGGTAGAATTCTCATTGTGTGTGCTCTATTCCGGTGTGGGATCAACATCAATGACCTTTCATATCGCGACTGTGTGGGGGTGTCGATGAAGTCGGGCATATTCTTGTCAAGTGCTCGTTCGCAATTGATGTGCTTCGTCAAATTTGGAATTGGTGTGCCATTGTTCCTCCTGCTTTTGACACAGTGTGGGAGGTTATCACCTTTGCGGCTAATTGGGGAAGCTGTCCTAAGAAAATGAATGTAGTTCTTTCCATTGTGTAGGGTTGCTTTTGGTGCATTTGGAGGGTGAGA